TTCGCGTGGGGGGTATTCTTAATAATAAACTAACGAAAATGTCGTGACAAAGTCTTTAGAAGCTGCCGCACATAATAATAGACGAGGCGTCTCAATTGGGGGTTTTGTTATCCAGGTAGGTATTGTATATGTTTTTTGTAAACACTTGTATATTGCTTGGAATCTCTGAAGCGTAGCGCGTTCATTTGATTGTTTTCAATATTATTTAATTGTTGTGGTACAAGTGGAACTTTCGTTATCTTTATCATTAGCAAAAACACACACATTCAGCTAATTAATGTAAATATTGACATAGGGCGCTCGGTGCACTGGTTTTAGTAGTTGTCCAAGAGTTGGCTGAAGAGAGCTTAAGAGAACAAATGAGCACACGATGACCACATGCCGGTTTATGCGAAATACTTTGTGCGCAAAATTTCCGTAGAAATATTCTATATACGTAAACTATTTATTTGCCATGTGGGCGACTGGGGAGGTAATGCCAAAAGTTTACTATTAAATTGAACTTGTTGATTGGGTCGAATGCCTAGAATGCCAAAACACAGATACACACGCATACTCATACACGCGCACTCACACTACCACACAACCATCTCGTTTCCACGGGGAGTGAGGTGGGGTTTAAATTAACTTGACGGGCTTAACGACGCAATTGTTGTGCCCTCCAACTGCCTGGTATTAAATGTAATTATTTCGCACCCCGTAGTTGTAATTTATTTAACTTATTTTTGTTGTATTTTTTACCTAGACTGAAACGTTGGAACCTTGTTTTTGTTTTGGTTTTATGTGGGTTGGTTTTTGTTTTTGGAAAAGCGCGCCACACTCGAAGCACTTGCTCGGTGGAAAAGAGAGCTTTGTCAGATATTACGTATACGACGGGTAGTACACATAAGAGCAGCCACAATATCAGCTGGTTGGCGAGGGTGGTGCGATAAGTGAGCGAGCGAGCAAATGGCTGGTCGATTGTAATTCACTGAACGGCTGTTCAAAAAACACTGACAGAAACTCTGAAAAGCCGACGGTCGCCGCTCGCCACTCGCCGCTCGCCGTTTCAGCTGTTTGCGTCGCCACTAAAACAGAGAGCAAAAGAGGAAGCGACAAATCCAGGGAGAGCAAGAAAGACAGACAGAGAGCGAGAGGGAGAGGGAGAGGGAGTGAGGCAATCGCAATGGGAGGGGGCAGAGGCCCCGAGTGGCTGATAAAACAATCGCGAGCAAGTAGCGCAGGGCAAGTGCGCCTTTGTGTTGCTATTGTTTTGAGCGCCAGCTTCTTAATGGATCCGCTACTCACCTGTGGTGTTCAAACGGCTTCTTCCGCTCGACGCCGCCAATTCGTTGAGAGGCTGAATCACAGTTGCTGTCCCCACTGTTGGCACTGCAAGTTGCCTTTATTGACCAGCGCTTATCACCACGTTTGGTGTAACCAAATCGGCAAATTAATGCTATAGAGTGACCAATAAACTGTATTTACTTACAATCTAAATAGCTTTGCAGGGACAAAGGCATATAATTAAAGCAACCGTTTGCCTAAATGTACTGTTGAACTTAATTATCCAGGTCCCGGATCACGACCAGGTGGTTATCTGTCAGGAGGTTAATTTATCCGTGGGTTAATTTTTACTGTGGATATTCTATCCAGGGGTTAGGTGAATTAACTGTGAGTTAATTTATCTGGAGGTTCATTTGACGGACGGTTATCTTATCTGGGTGTTAATGTATCTGGAGATTAATCTACCTGGATGTTAGCTTATCTGGGGGTTAGTTTATCTGGAGGTTATTTGGGGGTTATCTGGGGTTATCTGGGGGTTAATTTGCCTACCGGTTAGTTAATCTGGAGTTAGTTTATATGGATGTTAGTTTATGTGAATGTTGTTTTAACTGCAGCTTAGTTTATCTGCATGTTAGTTTATCTGGAGGTTATTTTATCTGGGGGTTAATTTGCCTCCCGGTTAGTTTATCTGGAGTTAGTTTATATGGATGTTAGTTTATATGGATGTTGTTTTAACTGCAGCTTAGTTTATCTGCATGTTAGTTTATCTGGAAGTTAGTTTATCTGGAGGTTATTTTATCTGGGGGTTAATTTGCCTCCCGGTTAGTTTATCTGTTAGTTATTTTATCTGGGGGTTACTTTATCTGGTGGTTAGTTTATCTGGAGGTTAGTTTATCTGCCAGTTACTATTTTTTAAGTTTTTTTATCTTGATAATTTGACTGCCGGTTAGATTATCTGGAGGTTAGTTTATCTGCCGGTTATTTTATCTGGGGGTTATTTTATCTGGGGGTTAGTTTATCTGGGGGTTAGTTTATCTGGAGGTTAGTTTATCTGGGGGTTAATTTGCCTCCCGGTTAGTTTGTCTGGAGGTTAGTTTATCTGCCAGTTACTATTTTTTAAGTTTTTTTATCTTGATAATTTGTCTGCCGGTTAGCTTATCTGGAGGTTAGTTTATCTGGGGGTTAGTTTATCTGGGGGTTAGTTTATCTGGAGGTTATTTTATCTGGGGGTTAATTTGCCTCCCGGTTAGTTTGTCTGGAGGTTAGTTTATCTGCCAGTTACTATTTTTTAAGTTTTTTTATCTTGATAATTTGACTGCCGGTTAGTTTATCTGGAGGTTAGTTTATCTGGGGGTTAGTTTATCTGGGGGTTAGTTTATCTGGGGGTTAGTTTATCCGGCGGTTATTTTATCTGGAGGTTAGTTTATCTGGGGGTTAGTTTACCTGGAGGTTAGCATATCTCGAGTTAGTTTATATGGATGTTGTTTTATCTGCAGTTTAGTTTATCTGCATGTTATTATATCAGGAGGTTAGTTTATCTGCCAGTTACTTTATCTTGGATTTATATTATCTGGATAATTTGCCTGCCGGTTAGTTTATCTGGAGGTTAGCTTATCTGCCGGTTATTTAATCGGGGCGTTAGTTTATCTGGAGTTTAATTTGCGGGGTTTATTTCATCGGGAGGTATTTTTAAGATTAGTTTGTCTGGGTCTAGATTTCGGAGGGCTATTTTATCTGATGACCATTTTATCTAGGAGTTATCTGCACCCCACGCCGCGCACACCGCATCCTGCTCCTCGGACCACACACATTGAACCACGAACAAGCGGAATTATATTACCATGATATTTACAGATTAGTTATCGCTTTTATTAATATTCCCATTTGACTTAAACTATATTATGTAAATATATATTTATATATAGATGTGTATATATCATTAGCATACAATTTGGTTTACGTCTTTAGAGTTGCTCTGCCTGCTTTCCATTGCATTCTAGATACACTTTGTATTTTCCATACGCGAAGTTTTATATAAAACCTAATAGACAATGCATAATTACTCAATTTTTATAAACAGATGCCGATTGCCAAAAAATTTCGTCTAATAAAATTAACTAGAATTGATATTTGATCCTTGAATTTCGAAAAGGCCATTCTTCAACTCCAGGACAAACCGGGGTAGGAGCTAGGAACGGGTTGAGGATGGGTTGTGTGTTTGTTTTTAGAGAACTTAATGGAACCCAAATGAGATAAGTGAATCAAAGCTGTGGACGGATATGCATTGTACAATGCACTTAGACGATGAATGGGCTAAAAATGAATTAAAGAGCTGTTGTAATCAAAACAAACACTTTTTAGTCCGTTGATCTGAAAATCTTCCTTTTTCTTCTCGAATTTTTTTTTGAGTATCTCTGTTCTTCTTTGTTCTTTTTGTATTATCTCTATTTCGGTTTGTTTTCGTTTCTCATTTTTAGTTGCTTGTTTGGCTTATACATGTGTCAAAAATCCGTAAAATCGCTCCAAAACTTGTTTTTTGTGTTTTCTCTGTGATCTAACTTTGTCGCTAATAAAGTTATTTTTGTTTTAATTTGTATTTCCCTCTCCATCTCTCTCTCTCTCTCTCTCTCTTATCTCTCTGACCGTGTTCCTACAGTTTTAAATATATTTCGGGGTATCTGAGCGATTGACTTCGGGTATCATTGAGTTAGTCTTAGTGTGTCTTAGCCAAGCAAATCAACCTATTCCACCCAAAACGAAATCAAAGATCTCAAATGGCCTAATGCAAATACACCTTTACAAATTAGCATAGTCAAATGCGGTTGAAGGTTTAACTCTGAATCTGCTTAACCCTTTCCACCGATTGATATTTCATACGTGACTCATTGGGGATCGTTAGCTCCTATGGATTTCCTCTTCCTCGATAGCTTTATATTTTTTTCTGATCACTGAAAAATGTTGTCCCCGAAAACTGACCCATCTACGCTCATGTCGCCCACTAAGCTAATCTAGTCGCATGGCACTCTCTTATCGCGGGTTGCTCAAATAGTACAACTTATACACGGTATTATACGTTTCATGGGAGCGCAGTGTTAAGTGGCAGAAGTTGATGGATTCCCTCGGTTTGCACAAACACCTCGGGCTCTATTATCTCGCTATCTTTTGGGCTGGCGTTCCAACTCCAATCAAATGATAAGCAGCGTTATGGTTAAATAGTAAATTAGATGGTAAAATGTCTTTAATAAGACACTAGTCGGAACGTTGTAATCTGATACACTGTTTAAGTGTCATAGGCGAGTGCGTAAATAAAAAGTGTTGAACTTGTCTTGTCTTCTAGCAAACTGTAGCATGTATGCCATGTATGTACATGTGGGATGTCTATTTGTTATTTCGTATCTCGATTTCCTAAGTTATATCTGCCTGCCTGACCTTAGACCATACTAGAGCTTCAAAGACGAGAACTTTACATTCATTATGTAGTTCATGGCACCATACTGATATTTTGACCAGTTAATTACTATGGCAGCCATACGATATCGTTAACAGATTTTAAGCTAATTGGGCTAGCGATAAGTATTTCGATTCGCCGAAATTTTGTATCTTTCTGATTAAAACGTGCTTTTAATCTGATTTCGATTCAAAATGTATGTGTCATTTCAATTAAAAATTTACTAGCATTTCAAATATATGAAAAAATATATAAAGGACATTTAGACAGAATTCTATTGATTTGACCTAAATTTATATAAATTGCTGATTGGAAGCTAACACTGATTTTGAAAATACATTTAGAAATCAAAAGGTATTTAAAACTTGGTCTTGGTTATTTACTAACTGGTTTTGGCCAGGCAGCATAGAGTAAACATATATGGGTACTTAAGTACATTATCTTTGGGCAAAAGGAAGATTTCTGTGATATTTCGATGCGCACATACACGGACACACACACGAGCGCAATGCTCACTAAAACTAATATACATACTTGTACATGTGCTATACAGTTACTAGAATGCATTCATAAGCGATTTAGTTGATCGATTCTGGGGATTCTTTTGTTACGTTTTAGATTTTATGAAAAAATATGTTGTTCTTTGTTCTTCGCTTACAATCTACAATTATCCATTGCTCTAAATATGTTTTGGTTTTGTTTGGTTTTGTAAAATATACATACATATACAATATACATATATAGATATATCCTTATGTTCAGTTGTAGATATACACGTTCGTATGTGCTAGAAAAGGTTTTCTCCACTTGGATAGATATACACATATATAAGAGCTGCTTGATCATAGCAATCGTATTTTACAGTTGAGTGGACTAACATTAAGTACTAAAATCATAGGTTAGCTACAGAGAAAACCAAGGAGATCGATCGAACTGGCAATGATATGGTAAGGAGTACATAGATCCATTGTGTTAGTTAACTTGGCGAAATCAAAGCTCACTTAAGATTCGTGTCTGATAGAGGAACATAATTACAAATGAGTGTGAAGAGAGAACTGCGACAGGACCTCCGTGTGCCCCATCTCCTCTATCGGTGCGAGTGCAGGTTGCCCTCCACCCACTTGTAGAGCGACGTCTGTGACCGGGCCACCCACTCCACGTTGGAGGCCACGCTGCTCAAGGTCATGTTCAGCACCGACATGCCATGACCTCGGCCAAATCGATGGACCAGCGATTTGAGCTAAAAAAAAGTGAATACAAGTTATTAGCATATTCTATACCCATCAATATATCAAACTTACCTCATCGTAATCGAACTTGGTGGCCCCGTACTGGGTGATGGCCGATATGACCTTGGCGAAACTGATTGTTCCAGGACCCAGGCGCTTCTCCAGCTCGAACCACTTGGCCTGAAGGAAGCGACAGGCCATAGCACCGCCCGTCGGCGTTCCTGCGATGGCCTTGAGCACCTGCACCACCTCCTCGGTGGGCAGCATTGTAACGTGGGATAACAGGCGGTTCTGCAGCCAAGCATCCTTGGTTCTACCCAGGGCGCGGAGCAACTGCATCCGCTCCACGAATGTCTCTGATGTGCGCTGCAGGTTAACAAAGCGTTCCCAGCAGTGCTGCCAGTAAATGTACTCGCCGGACAGGATGGAGCCCGTGTAAACCACCTCTCTAAGATTTGGTGGAATGGCGGTGCCGTTGTAGTATAGATACTGATTAAGCATGTTCTTTGCCTTGGTGATGCTATCGATATCTTCCCACAGCACCGATGCCAAGAGCACTTCGGGACGCAGTAACCTTGATTGAATGCAATAAATTCAGAACATTTTCGTACGATCTTATTGTAAGCTGTCTTACCTGGTGGCCACATCGCCGTCATCCGACCAGCCGACCTTCTCCATCACCGTGGATATCTTCATCTTAATGAACTCGCTAAGCATTAGGAAGCACTCCGAGTACTTAAGGATGCGTCGCCACTTCTCCAAATGCCTCAATGCCAAAGCCATTGGACCGTAGTGCGTCTCACTGGGCAGATACTGAATCATGTTCATGGTGATCTCGCAGGGCAGCAGATTTGCGTGACATAGCGTAAAGGCATCCGACAACAGACCCAAGCGATCCTGAGATATAAAGATATATTTTCGTTAATTATAGTTGCCAATTATAGTGAAGGTTTATGGGGGCTCACCTCGCTGGTAAAGCGGTTGGGATTTGCGGCCAACTCCTCGATCAGACTTGCCCAATTATCATCATTGTAGACCACTCGGTAATAGCCGTTTTGTATGGCGTTCACTTTGATCCATTTCACGTTCTCCGGCACATTGAAGGTTACTGAAGAAAGGTTAAGTGTAATTTTTGTTCACTTATATAAAGTTATTTGAACTGACCATCTACATTCTGCATCCAGAGGGTTTCGCTGACGTTGTTGATATCTGTCACATAGGTGACTGGGAAGATCCACTTCATGTGCGGCGCCACCTTATGTTTGCTACCCTGTGTTGTGGGTGCCACTGTGCTGGGCATATCAGTGGCATTCAGCGACGTTTTATTGTAGTTATTCCCATCGTAGGAGTCGTCATGGATGGCCAGAAATTCCGCTGGTCGAAAAGGTCGCTGCGAGATGGAAATGCTGTTGCCCATTTTGGTGACCGTGAGGAGGGGAAAGCCCGGCTGGTGGGTCCACAGCGTCATCATGTCCTTGATGTTCTTCGAACCGTTGGCTTTCTTGGTGCAAATGGTCCACAGATCAGTGGGTTCAGCAGTCCGGAAACGATTCACCTTAAGGAACGAGCCCAGACAGCCCCGGAACCGATCCTCACCGATGGCCGTGTGCAACATGGAGAATATGGCCGCTGTCTTCTGGACAAAGAACTCCTCATTGTTGCCATCGTGGCTGGTGCCGTTCATGATGCTATCCCATCCCTGGATGGCGTCGATATCCAACGCAGCTGTGGCCATCTTCAGGAGGTACATTTCTCTCAAGGGCCAGGTTTCCTGCAGGGGCGCCAAGGCGTGGATGCCCAAATACTGGATTAATCCCTCCCACAACCAGACGTCCTTGAGCACCTTTCGCGAAGTGATGCCGCCAAAGAACTGCCTAACCATCGCCTCGGCAATTCGTAGTGCACTGAACTGATATTGCTCCGAGGTTATTGAACTGGGATCCGTTAAGAACGACGTTTTCAAAGTGACCAATCCCAGCGAGGAGATCATGTTGCGATCCAGGGAAGGCAAGGCCACAAAGTCCACTTTCGTGAGGGGATAACTGATATCCAGCCAGGTCTGCAAATACTCCAGAACGTCCCTAGAAGTGTGCAGAATGAATGAAGAGCGAATCAGCAGATCCCTGGGCGCATAGAAGGTGTACGATGGAGCTCTCTTGATCGACGATACCGTGGACTGGGACAGTGATGTTAGATTCGTTGGCTTTCCGTTCCCATTGAGATTCACTGGCCACGCTGTCGTCGTCGTGGGTTGCACAACGGTCAGGTTTTGCCGCGGCGTCAGGTTCACATTCAATGAATGAGTCAGGGCAGTGATGTTTCGTACCGGCGGGTTTTTGCCCTTAAGCTGAGTATAATTGTTTAGCTGGGCGGACTTCTTGCCACCCACTCCGGATCCCGGTGGCGCTGGTGTCGTGGGTATATATGCCGCCGAGGGCTGCAGGGATTCGCGCTGGAAGTCGCTTACCACCCAGGCCACCGCATCGGCTGGCAGTGGGGGAGTCTCTATGAAGTCGTCGCGCAGCTGTGAAAGGCACATAATTATATATCTTTCGGTTAGAAACGTTTCCATTCGTACGCACCAGTCCTGTGCCCATGTAGAAGCCTACGTCCTCGGTGGTGTGCACTATGGAGTTGGACAGGCCGATGTGGAAGCGATCTCGGAACACGGAGATCCGGAACGGTGCTCGAACGTGCGGCTCATCGAAGCAGGGAAATGCTCTTCTTGCGCCATTCGGTCGGAAAACTGTGGCAGCTAATAATCTGTAATGATGGAAACACATGAATTTAATGGAACTGCAAGGTTTGGCTATTACTGTACTGACAGAGGCACTCAATGGGGACTTCTTACCGTTCAACGCCATTGGAGCTCTCGTACTGGTCGACATAGAAGCCCTCTGGCTCCGGATTGAGCTTGGAGTACCAGCGAAGGTTGAGGGTGTAATTGGACTTCTTTTTGAGCCGCTCCTTCACCTCGATGTAGAGCTGCTGCCGGGGCGGAAACTCCAGCACCTTAACAATCTTGAGGGCATAGCCTTTGGGACCCGGGGTCACGATGGCCTGCAATCGAAACGGGGAATGCAATCAATGGAGGCACTCGAGCCAGACGCTAATTGGCTTAATTTGCATTCGACCGGAACCGATCCGGTAATGACTTACCTTCTCGGTGACGTTGAGGTCCTGGATGTGCAGCACAATGAAGTTGGTCTCCTTCTCCACGTGCAAATCGATGGTGACTTGGCCTGGCCAGACGGCAATATGAAAGTGGAAAGTATAAGAGTTAAATGTCAGACAATCAAATTATAATTTCATCGTTGAACGAAATGGGAGGCAACAGCACACTCAAAGAAAAATCCAGTAAATTGCAAACGTTTTGCCGGAATTTAATGTATGTGCTGGTATTTTTCGAATCACTTTTGACTCACCTTTGACATCCAGTGTGGTCAGGTTGGGATGGATGGTAACCATGTAGCGCAGCGGCCGCACACTGGTGGGCAGCATCTTCTCCAGCCAGGGAAAGGGCTCCCCGTTGGTGGCAATCGGATTGAAGGGCTGGGTGTTGTTCTCTTCATCCGTTTCGTAGCCGGACACCGTTTTCGATCCGCAGGAGCAGTCTGCAAGGATAGTCAAGGTGCGTAATCAGTATCGGTTGCACTGCACGGCTCGTTGCTCTTTCTTATTCGCGGACGACTCTTTCGGGGATTCGTAGCTAAGTTCGTTAAAGCAAATTGCATTATACACAATCAACAGAGAGAGAGTTAGAGGGATATATCATCTAAGACGGGGTGGGGGTTAGCATAAAGAAAAGCTAGCAGTAAATCGGTTTAATAATTGGATTCGGTTCAAGTCATTAGCACATCTAGTGGGGTGAACGGAACTCAAATGGGGTGGGTCACAAATGAGATTTCTTTCTGGCTGAATGTCGCGATTAATCGAATGTAGTCACTTCAATAGCTTCAATGAGATTTTCAATGTGATGGAAGATCTAACAATTATAATCCACAAGCCATCAGGAGTACAACTCAAAAATCTACAACATTATCATATGTTAAGTAATAGAAGTAAGTTCATATAACTAGAGAGAAAACGAAGATAAAAAAGTTGACCCGAAAATATGTTGTCTATTTATATAAAGTTTTTGGTGTGTATATACTTGTAGATTGTACTTGAAATGTACTTGGAACCTTCAATAAAGTAGTGTCTGTGCAATTTCTCGACGCATTTCTAATGCAAAGTATTTAACTCAACCATCGGAATGACAAATACCTAATGATCAGTGATATTTCGTATTTACAATGGACACTAAAATTGAAACAATCTAACCTTTCCTCCACAATCGAAATAAAACCAATCAAAGATCTAACATCTAGAGTTAGAAAAGTATAAAAATAACAAAAAACGAAAAGGGATAAGTAAGAAACAACGGATGATCAATGACATCAACATGCCGAAGGATTATATAGAGTGTCATTGCTATTTACCAGTTCAGAAGTATTCAGGTTTGGCATAATTGTTACTCACATTTTAACCAATCAATCAAACAAGCATTTAAGAGAAATATTTCATATTTTTTCAAAGATTCATATATATATAATAAACATTTGGTATACAAAGTCGGAGGCAAAAGGAAACGAAAATGGGAAACAAACAAACGATGATCAGGAAATCAAATAGACATTATTAATGGATATATATATATATACTGTATAGAAAAGGGTAGTGGAAAATGTGTAACGCTGGTCAAACTGTCTAATTGGATCGGCGGAAGCAGAAGTTAAAGCTACATGGTGGAAAATGTTGATTGATAATCGACCTCGCGGCGGGGAAAATTAACTTTCCGCCAGACATGTGTCCCTGCACATCCCCCTCCAATCCGCAAACACACTTTCATGCGGCTTGTTTTCCCTTTCCCTTGACAGTTAATGCAATTATCCCCCAATGCATTTAGCCCCATTAAGTATGCAACAGAAACTTCCCGCGAGCATGTGAGTGTTTGCGCTTTGCATAATTCTGCTATTCAATATGGCCAGCCGATTCCTACTCTGGCAGTCAAAGAGATCGGTTGTGTCGCGCGCATGCAAAAGTGATTTATTTTTTGCTTATCGGTGCATTCCCTTTTGTGCTCAAAATAGCACAAATCATTTATTTGGGCGCTGCTTTGAGCGGTGTCGGCAGTTTGACAAAAACAAAAAGTGCATCAGGTGAAGTGCATTCAAACGGTGCTTTCTGCCCTTCGGGCAAGTCATCTACCTCACCCCGCGCAGAACTGCACAAGAGGTAAACAAACTTTGCTTATCAGTAAAACCGAACTGTTTATGCTCTGTTCCGGACATTTGGGCCCGCAAATTATTTGCTGAATATTAAGACAATATAAAAACAATGAATGAAAACAGTTTCGATGACTCTCAGCTTATAAAGAAGCAGATTGATCATGAAAAAATGTTCTCAATAGCTGGAAAATTACCTAGTAAGATTAGAGACGAGTGCCGATCAGAAATTCAACGCATTACATGCAATAAGTCTCAAAGCAGTCCCACCACAACAACAGTGACATTTTCTAGTGCCAGTAGCAGCACCATATACACAATGGCAAATCCCACAATGAGCAGCATCTGTTCTGGTTCAAGTGTAGCAAACCAAGAATGTTCCCAATTGACCAGCCCCGACATTGCAGCAAAAAATCTAAGCGGTGCTGCCAGAAGATTACTGGATGATCAAAATCGGAAAGCAGGCAAGAGAAAAAATGCAAAGCCACTGTCCCCCATCCTTAAACCGAAAAGAGTGAGCAGTACCCAGGGCCTGCACTTGGTCCCCACAATTAACCAGAAGGCAAGCTCTAGTAACAGGTTTGCTATTCTCGACACGGACATCATTACTAATGAAGAAAACGGGGAAGACATGATGTCTGAGGATGCCGAGGATGCTAGTGCCCGCATGGACGAATTTCAATCTGCAGAAAACAATACTGCCAATAAATCCCAGGAAACATCTAACGCCAACAATCAACTCAAAGATTTTAAAAAACCACCCCAAATTGTTGTTAATATTAGCAACTTAAATGACCTATTTGAGCTCATACAAGAAAAGGCAAGTCTGGATAACGTCGTAGTCAAAGCTAACCAAGGGGAAACAGTCAGAATATTTCCCAAAGACAGTGACACTTACAGAAAAATTGTTAGCTATATGGATGAAATTGGTATGCAGTTTCACACTTACCAAATGCTGACAGAAAAAGCACACAGAATTGTAGTAAGGGACTTACATCACAGCACACAAAACAAAGATATAACGGCCGATCTGAAATGTTTAGGCTATGAAGTACTTCACATTCACAACCCTCGTTCAAGGGTTAATAAAGATGAAAAACTCAATATTTTTTTCATTAACATTAAGCCCTGCCCTAATATTAATGAAATTTATCACGTGAAGACCCTTTGCCGACAGAAAATACGGATCGAAAGGATGCGAAAGTCTAGTGAAATTGCACAATGTCGACGCTGCCAGGAGTATGGCCATACAGCTAAATACTGCCGCAGACATCCAAATTGTGCCAGGTGTGGTGAAAATCACCAAACCACACAATGTACACGTCCTGTAGATGCTCTGCCCACATGCTATCACTGTTCTCACGATCACATGGCTAGTTATAAAGGTTGCCATAAGTACCAGGAGCTTCTCCGCAGATCTATGGGGCCTGCGAAGAAGGCGAATCACTTAAATAGGCAGAATCATGGGTTCAACCATAGAGATCAGCAACAGTTTCCTTCCGTGCAGATTAATCGCCGTAAGAGTACCAACCAGTCAACTGAACATCAGCAACCAACACAACAACACCAAAATATGGTACAGCATCAACCATCTATAGGCCCTGGGGTAAATACAAAAGTATCCTATGCCACAGTAGCAAAAGAATACTCTAATACAACTCCCTCCAAGGATGGACCAGCTCAGCGACGTTTATTTAACTTACAAACGCAACAGTTATCGCAGCAACAACGACTGAACACTCAGCAAAATAATTCACTTGACGTCCAAGCATTGTTACAACAGCAACAACAACAGTTCCAAGAATGGCAGCAGCAAATGCAACAACAACAACAACATCAGTTTATTATGTGGTTGCAACAGCAGCAACAAGATCAGCAACATCACAGAAATCAAACCAATCAACGACTTGAAAAACTCGAAAGAATGGTATTTGAAATAACCACCATGTTAAAGCAAGGAGCTGGGAATGAACATACCTACCAGCTTACTAACAACGCTCCACACCCACAATGAATCCACTAAAGATTCTTATTTGGAATGCCAACGGCATTTCAAGAAAAGCTAAAGATATTGAGCTTTACGCGCACAATAATAGCGTGGACATTCTTCTTGTGACGGAACTTAGAATTAAAAGAGGGGATACTGTTAAGATATATGGTTATGCTTTCTATCCAGCATTTAGGCCATCGCAAAATAATAATAGCGTTGGTGGAGCAGCCGTGTTCGTTAGGACAACTCTTCGCCATTTCCCGCAAAGGGTCATAGAGACACGCAGCATACAAATGTCTACAGTAAAAGTAGCTACAGGACTGGGTGACGTGCAGTTCGGCGCCATTTACTGTCCTCCCAGTGTTAGTATCGACGAAAGACAATTTACTGACACAATACGCTCTTGCGGCCAACGGTATATGATTGGTGGCGACTGGAACGCCCGACACTGGCTTTGGGGCGACACCTACAATTCACCCCGTGGGCGTGAGCTAGCGGAAGCCATCTCTATCACTGGAGCTAAGATACTTGCAACTGGCTCGCCAACCAGGTATCCTTATGTACCCAGTCATACGCCTTCCTGCATTGACTTCGCGGTGCATCATGGTATACCAGATTCCCTAACAAGTATAACACAAAGTTGGGATCTGGACTCCGATCACTTGCCTTTGATCATCAGTATTGTGACAGATAGTACCCATGTGAATCCAAGTCCACGATTAGTCAACAAGCACACTGACCCGCTCGCTTTTAGTCAACAACTGGAGAGCATGATCCCGTTGAACATCACGCTAAATTCTGGTGAAGAAATTGAAATGGCTGTTGATCACCTTACGCAAAGTATTCACAGGGCTGCGACTGCATCTACGCCTTCTGTTCCTCGGACAGGCACCCCCTATGGAATATCCCTAACAAGAGAGGCTAGAGAGCTCCTGACACAGAAAAGGAGACTCAGAAGGCGAGCAATCCGATCTCAAGATCCCTGGGACCGCATCTTATGGAACCGTGCTGCAAAACAACTACGAAATGTGGTAAGAGACCTTCGAAGTATCTTTTTTGAGCAGAAGCTGGCTTCTATGGACTATACGGTGGATGCTGGGTATTCACTCTGGAAGTCCACCAAATCCCTCAAAAGACAACCGTTCAGACAGGTACCCATTAGATGCCCGGGAGGTGAACTTGCTAAAAACGAGGAGGAACAGGCCAATTCCTTTGCAAATCATTTGGAGACTAGGTTCACCCATTACCAATTCGCTACAATGGAGCAGAATCGAGAGACGCTTGACAGCCTAGAGATACCCCTACAAATGTCGCTACCAATTAAACCAATCAGGGTTGAGGAAATTGCCGAAGTCATTAAATCAATGCCAATAAAGAAGACTCCTGGCATCGACAATGTCTGTAATGCCACGTTAAAAGCGCTACCTCTCCGAGCCATCCTATACATGGCGAAAATATTTAATGCTATATTTAGGGTGCAGTCCTTCCCAAAGCAGTGGAAAATGGCAGCAATTCTCATGATACATAAGCCTGGGAAACCTGAAGAGGATCCGGAATCGTATCGGCCCATAAGTCTGCTGTCTTCGCTATCCAAGATATGGGAAAGGCTGATTGCCAACAGACTAGGTGACTTTATTAAGGAGCGCCGTATCCTCCCAGATCACCAGTTTGGATTTCGACAGGGACACAGCACTGTGGAGCAGGTTCACAGACTGGTTAAGCACATTATTCAGGCGTTTGACGACTTGGAATACTGCAATGCTGTATTTATTGACATGCAGCAAGCATTTGACAGAGTCTGGCATATCGGCCTACTCTGCAAAATAAAAAAGCTGCTTCCAGCACCATACTATGGAGTCCTGAAATCTTACCTGGAAGATAGGAAGTTCATGGTCAGGGTCAGAAGCACCTACTCAACCCCTTGCTACATGAGAGCTGGAGTTCCGCAGGGCAGCGTCCTCGGCCCGCTGCTCTACTCAATATTTACCGCGGATTTGCCTTGCCCAAATATGCACCATATGGAAGCTCCCAGGAAGGCCCTACTCGCCACTTACGCTGACGATATCGCACTGTTATACAGCTCCAGTTCTTGCACTGAGGCAGCACGTGGCCTCCAAGAGTATCTCAATACTTTGGCTGCATGGTGCAAAAGATGGAACTTAAAGGTAAATCCACATAAGACCATCAATCCTTGTTTCACCTTGAAGACTCTCATTAGGCGCACACCACCCATACAATTTGATGGCGTAACCCTAGAACAACCTCTGCAGGCTAAATACCTTGGGATCACCCTTGACAAACGGTTGACCTTTGGCCCACACTTAAAAGCTGCGGCACGGAGATGCGGTCAGAGAATGCAACAACTGCGATGGTTGATCAACAGAAGAAGCACCATGACACTTAGAGCCAAAAGGGCAGTATACGCCCACTGTATAGCCCCGATCTGGCTATATGGAGTGCAGATCTGGGGTATTGCTGCAAAATCGAACTATAAACGCATTGAGGTCTTGCAAAATCGTGCAATGCGTGCCATCACCAACTGCCCATACTATGTACGTAGCTCAACCCTTCATCGGGACCTTAATCTGCATACAGTGGAAGAACAGATCTCAAGGCACACAAGCAGATACAGTGATAGGCTTAAAAGACACCACAGCATGCTAGCAAGACGCCTACTCCCTGCCAGGCCTCTAAGAAGGCTTAAAAGAAAGGGCTTTGCCAAAACAATTGGACAGCTTTAAAGACCCCCTCGACGTTTGAGACTCTGTTGTTAGTCTTCCCACGATAAGTGAGAAGTTTGGTTATATTATTTATATGTTTAATTGCAATGTTATGGTACTAGTACTGCATGTACGGATTCGTCGCTTTATAATAATAAACATTTAAAAAAAAAAAAAAAAAAAAAATATGGCCAGCCACACAGAATAGCAGGTCGAGGCCCATGGATCCATTGGGGACAACGGGTTGGGGTCAGGTGTTGCAGTTGCATCTATTTATACGCGGAATGCGGTGATTCCTTTATGGTCCCACCTAATATGGTTAAAAGCATATTACTTGGCTCTAAATGGATTGCTTTGCCCGCTTCGAATGCCGCCGGTCAAGGAATTCAATTACCATTTATACGGATTTATTGGGGCCCAACTTTGAACCTTGAGGCGGCTTTAGTCATAGATACTTGGCTCGGACCGAGAATGGACTGCATTATTCATGATTCCCTTCGACACGTTGATTTATGACTCAATCGTATGTGCACCCATTGCATTTGGAACGAGTCTGATTGAAGTAACTGCCCCTCATCAATGGGTTCTCTTTAAAGATCCTTTTGAAATTTTTTACATCCGACCTCTATTGTAATGCTTTAATCTACCGGAATTACATAGCTTGTGGCTTTCTTTTATGCTGTATTTGGCTGATTACTCTATCTATTTGGGTATTTTTCATTGTCATAAAGATTTTGTATTTCACTCAAGCGTATGCTTTAAAAGCATGTATTAACCCTTTTGCTAGGGACATCTATTCAGGAAAGCGAGTTATATGACTCTATTGTTCCATTCACGTCAATCTGAATCCCTCTCTTACAACATCCCATTTTTAAAGCTGTCAAATTTCGGGTAACCTTTTGAAGCCGCCTTTCCGTCCCGTCCAATTGACTACATATCCTGTCGCCCCCAATAAAGGCGTAATCAAGTAACAGCAACAACAGCCACAACAGTAACAAACACAAAGGGTGACCCCAAACCACTCGATGTTCTGCTCTGCTCTGCTCTGTTCTGTTCTGTTCTGTTCTGTTCTGTCCTGTTCTGTACTGTTTCTGTGGGCGAAAACGAAAAACGAACGAGGTGAACATGGTCGAAAAAAGTCTCGTAAAAGGGAAGTAAAAGAAAAGAACGTAACGGTGTGAGAATGGCGCCGCCTTTGGGGCACGAATCTGGTGGCATGGGTCATGGGGCACGGGGCAAACCTACCGTTCTGCGGTCCGGCGTAGGCGATGATGATGGCCGTCAGCAGCAGCGAGCCGAGCACGATTCCGGCCACAAGTAGAGCCCGGCGCTGTGAGCAGACGGCCACTCCGGTCCGCGTCTGCCGTCCGCCGCTCGATTCGCCACCTGTCGAAATGGAACGGAGAAGGAACGTGCAAAATGTAATTAAACTCCGCATAAAAGTCATAGTGGGGCTGTGCAAATATTTCATCTGGATGGGTTGCACTGCAATTGCCACTGGAGTTGAGTGCAGCTCCACAAAAATAACACAAAATGGGGGTCAGCTTTCAAAGATTGAGTGCTTGGTTACCGCATGAAAGAGCCACCAAGTGCAGGCTTCACAAATATAATAAAATGTTTGCTCATGGAAAATATTCTTCATAAGTTTGATCAAGACCACATTGTATGCCATATCTCATGTTTTTTTAACCATATAATTATATGTCTTCTTGTTGGCCATAAGCATACAATTTGGATTATTTTTTTAGGCAAATCTTTCAGCTTGGCCAACTTCTTCATAGTTGCAGGGTAATCCTTGCCTCATCCTCGACATCCAACTTACCGGATAGAAAGGCACAGTCATCGAGGTCCGGATCATTTGTCATCTCGATGCGCTCGCGACGCCAAATCTTCGAGCCTCTCTGACCACCGCCGACGACCGAAATCTTAACGGGGCCGGTGTCTCTGTGTCTTCCGGCCAATACGTACGCTTGCTAACCCGTGGCCGTAAACGAATTGGGCTTCGAAATCGCAACTGAGACCGCAGCGAACCCGTTGAATTAAACACTCGAAAATCTGGTATACCGCAAATAATTGACGGCTTATTTGCTCTAAAAATGGGAAATCACAATCACTTTATGGCCAATACAGGTCGAACCCTTTTGCCAGAACCCCCCATTCATTTTCTTCCAGTCACGTGCACTTCATAGTTTATTCACCACCAATGCCCGAAATCGGTTTTGGATTTCTCTGCTCACCCCTTTACCCATAAATCTACTGCCAAAAAGTGAAGCTCCTTTGATGAGTTCATAATCGGACTGCCGAGAATATTAATAAACACTGTTTTTATATATAGGTAGTAAGGAATTTTAAAAGAACCCTGAACCGACCGATGAATATTTTACGAGGATGTATACTTTTATGATCCAGTGCTTATGGAATTTTCATTTTGCACCCTTTAGCTACCAAATCGACTGCCAAAAATTGAGACGCCTTGACGAGTTGATAATCGGGCGACCAGAAATATACATACATAATTTATGCAGATAGCACTTTCGTTTGGCTCTTCCTCAGCCGGCTTTTCCTCTTGCCAGAAAAAAAAAGCACCACCCCTACCCCCGCTCCAAGTTGGCCGAAAGCCAGACGCTGACGCCCTTCCGGTTCCGTCTAGTCAGACTACGGCTGTCCGCCCCCGTCCGTAATTCCATGTCCATGGCGATGGGTCCCTTTTCTGAGAGTCTGCACTTCTCGCATTCAAGCTCACTGTTTTCAATGTCGCATTGAATTAGTAAAAGCGCTTTCAACGCCCGAAAATCAACCCCCCAAAAAACATGCTTTCGTCTCTTTCTCCCTGCTTATATCCGTCCCTCTCTCTCTCCTCATCTGTGTAGCCGGCTTTTGTGAGGAGGCTGTATGCTTGTATTTGATGTCTAATGTCCACGCTTCTGTCTGCCTTTGAGGAGCTCTTGAATCTGAAGCTGGCCGCCTGTAGCATCATTCAGGCATAATTTGTGGCTACGGTTTGTTAGGCGTAGCAACGGTAATTTTGGACAAAACCGAATCAAATTTGAATGCCTTGCCAATAGGTAAGATTCGGTTAAAGACCACACCTTAAGGGGGCTATGATTCAGGATAGTTATCTTATTGGTGCAACTAAATTCCAATAGCTAGAGCAGTCTATTAATTATGGATTAGGTTGGATTCTGTATAATGATTCGGTATTATTTCAGTAAAGTTCCAAGTATTAATAAAAAAGATACTAATTTTTAACATCAATTGCCCACCCCTGAAGCAGGCTATAGATTTCACATTGCAAAGGCATAAAATCACGTATACGTAGATGTACAAAGGCAAATCAACTTTCACATTAGTGTCGGTGAAATTCAAATCGTTAAATCTGACATAAAAAGTTATGATATGTATACACGTTTTTCGCTAGCAAAATCGACAAATAAAACAGGCAAAACTAGGGCCATAAAAACTGCTGTGGTTGTCAACAACATTTGCTAACTATTCAATTCCCGTCAGCCAGTTGTTGTAGCCCAAATTGGTCTTTAATGAGGCTTCGCATTCTGTTTGCTTTGGGCTTTCCTCTTTGTTTAATGTCAATGTCAAAACGAGGCCTAATCCTAATTTCCAAGTGGAACGAATGCGATTGTTGTGCCTGCCGCTTTGTTTGTCTTCGTGACTGCACCTATGTACTCGTAGTTACTCTCTCCTTTCCCTGCAGCCATTTCCAATTGTGTATTCCACATGCCACTCAAGAAACGTGTTAATGCATATATCACAATTCCATTTCATTTTTGTTTAACGCGGCCGCCATTTGGCATTTGTTTACATTCTCATTTGCTCAGCGAAAATAAAGAAAAAATACAAAAAAAAAACAAAAAAACAAAAAACCTGAAGAACTCGGGTAGGAGAGAGGGAGAGCGAAATGGGAGTAAGAGAACGAGAGCTTGGAAGTGAGAGTGGAGAGTGTGAGTGCGAGTGAGCGACTGGAGCGCTCTCACTGGAACCTGTGTTTTGAAATGAAATGTCAAAATGCAAAGCTCAACAGCGCGAATTTCCTTTCCTTGTGCGCGTGTATAAGTGAATTTCCTGCTTTGTCTTATGCGGTGATTTTCTTCTTCTCTTTCGCTCCAATCTGCGCGTATATATGTCAATAGTGCGCTTTCCAGCTGGCCCCGCTCTCCTTTTCTCCACCACCCCCCTCACACCTTTCTCCCTATTTTTTCGCACTTTTTCGCCTTCAGCTGCTCCCTTTTTCCCTTTTTTCGCTTTGTTGCCACTTGACTGAATTGCGGTTCTCAGCTGCAGTTGCATTTTACTTGGCGACAGAGCATAGCGGTTCATTATTTCATTTCAGTTAGCTAATTAATGAAAAATTAAGGTCTTGTTACCGTTCTTTTTTTCTTTTCTCTTTTTCGAAGTGGGTTCTGGGCAAAAAGGTCAATTTAGAGATCAATAAAAAAGTGCATACACTAATTACTCGCAGCTTCGACTCGAAATTGAACACTTTAATTGGCTGCTTTTTTATAGCCACCAATTGATTTCCTTCACTACACTTTCTTGCTTCTTAATATATGTATATATACATATATATTTTTTGGCAATTTCTGCTTTCTTTCACAGACACGCACAGCGGGTGGGGGAGGTGGGGGTTAAGGGGGGCAGCACGCGACGCATTCGCTTGCGTGTATGTGTGTATGCGTGTGTATGGCACTTTAGTCAACACCGAATCGCTAGTGTCCTTTCCTTTTGCGAACGCCGCCTTTTGTCACGCGCTTTTTGTTGCGTTTGAGTGCGCGTACATTTTCCAACTGGATGCTGCCGCAGCGAAACGGCGTGCAGCAACCCTGCGAGATGGGAGGTGGCAACCCCGAGAAGGTCTTGCGCATGCCCACCCGCTCTTCATTTGCTCTCTCTCTCTCCTTCTCTCGCTCTCTTGATTTCTGCGTTTGAGCTTTGCTCACCTGCAAAAGTGAAAATGAAATTTCTTTGGAGAGCCCTTGTGTTTGATGTACCACTAACCCCTCCCCTGCTCTCCATGTCCTCCCGCTGATTGGATTTTTGTTTTGATACAACCAAAAACAAATACAAGTAGTAAAGCTAAGGAACTACTCAATACCCTTCAAATAAACCGTTCTGTTTATATTTTTAAGCTTTCGAAAAGATAGACAACCCTTTGGTTTGTTTCGAATAAAATGTGGACTACCTTTTCCAAAACCATATTATTTAAATTAAGGAATTTAATCCCCAAAACTATTTCCAAGATCTCAGCATACCCTTGAACTCCACGAGTGCCGCGGTATTAAAGGAAAAGCTTATAGTGAAGTGTTGCCAGGCGAATCAATAGCGCAGCAACCCTTAAAAGACCCCACAACCCCCCAGCAACACCCCCTCATTTCGCCCACATGCAATCATTTGTTGTTGTTCTTGTTGTACCACTCCATGTTGTGTTGTTTATCATGTGTTGGCCAAATAGTTCAATCTGGCAGCGGCTCATCATTAGATGTTCCCATTTAAGGGATGAGTTCCCTGCGCCTACACATTTGATTTATATAATTATAATTATTTCGTTGACGCGTTCGAGAATTTGTCATAAAAATCATTAGAGTTTACCAGCTCGGGGGATGCGATTTTTATGATTAAAATTTGGGCCTTTTCCCGAACTGCGTTCCAATTGGGATTTACGTTGTCCTGATGATGCTGCGCTGTGTTGCCTACTTTTGGGTCGACATGGCAACTGGGCGAAAACAATCAACAAATGGAGCACAAAGCCGAAACGTAAATGGTAATTCGCTTTAGGAAGTTTGCCGGCAAATGAAATCTCATTTTTCCCCTTTTCGCCTCTTTGTTCCGGCAATGCGACGAAAGTTTATTTTTTTTTTTTTTTGGTTTGGAGGGCATACAAGTACACATACAAAGAAAACGAAACACACCACCGGTTCGCGGTGACTTGCCGGAAAAAATTGGGGATGCTCCTCTTGCCCTCATCCCTTCCATTTTCCTTTTGGCAGTTTTTCCCAATTTCCCAAGCCACTGACTTCGACGCCGGCAGAGCGGGCTGAACTCAATAAATTCGCCGTCACGTTAGTGTAAAGTAAAGTTTTCCCTTCGCGGCTTTTCGACCGAATCGAGCTGAATCGTGTTCATTAGGCGGTGCCACGCCTCGTCGAACGCCCACTCTTCGGTTGTCATATAGCTGGCTTAAAGCGTTCCATTTGCCGGGAAAAACTGGCAATTCGATTGTAACGAAGATAAATACACTTAGACATAGATTTTTGATTCAATGAAAACTTTGAATTCTGCTCATCTTGATAAATAGGAAATCTAGTATAGCTTTTAGCAACAGCTTAAAGGGCAGCCAGTACGACAAAACTGGTATACCTTTGAGCAGTGTAAGC